CACTGCACTCCAGTCTGGGTGACAGAGTGAGACTCCAACTCAAAAAATAAAAAAAAGAAACAAAGCAGGAGGTATCACACTGCCAGACTTCAAGTTTTACTATAAGGCTAGAGTAATCAAAACAGCCTGATATTAGTACAAGAACAGGTTTAAACCAATGGAACAGGATAGAGATTCCGGAAGCAAAGCCTCAACTTCTCAACCAACTCATCTTTGACAAAGCCTCCAACAACAACCACTGGGGAGAGGAGAACCTATTCAGTAAACGGTGCTGGGAAAACTGGCTGATCACACGCAGAAGATTGAAACAGGACCCCTATCTATCACCATACACAAAAATTCACTCTAAATGGATCAAAGACCTAAATGTAAAACCTCAAACTATAAGAATCTTAGAAAACGCAGGAGACACCCTTATGGAAATTGGAACTGGCACTCAATTCCTATTCAGAACCCTAAATGCCCATACCTTAAGAAATAAGGAAGGCAAGTGCTGACCTCATCAAACTAATGAGCTTCTGCCAAGCAAAAGAAACAATCAAGAGAGCAGGGAGACAGCCCACAAAATGGGAAAAATATTTGCCAACTGTATATCTGACAAAGGCCTAACATCTAGGATCTACAAGGAACTCAAATGCGAAAGGAAAAAAACAAACAGCCCCATTAAAAAGTGGGCAAAAGACATGAATAGACAATTCTCAAAAGACGATATACAGGCAGCCAACAGACACGTGAAAAAGTGCTCAGCCTCACTCATCATCAGAGAAACGCAAATCAAAACCACATTGAGATACCACTCAACCCCAGTAAGAATGGCCATCATTAATAAAACCACCAACAACAGATGCTGACGAGAATGCAGAGAAAAGGGAACACTTCTACACTGCTGGTGTGAATACAAACTAGTGCAACCTCTTTGGAAGACAGTGTGGTGATTTCTGAAAGAACTAGAAATTACCTTCCATATGACCCAGCAATTCCCCTATTGGGAATATACCCAGAGGAACTAAAATCATTCTACAAAAAAGATACCTGCAC